GGCCGGGCCGGGGACCGGCAGTGCTGGGCGGGCCGGGGGTGCTCGGCCGGGGGCCGGGCCCGGGGCCAGCACCCCAGGGCCCGAGCTGACCCAGGCTGGAAACGCTGGGGGGGCCAGCCTGGGCCGCGCCTCCTCCCCCCACACTCCCCCTTACCTGCTTCAGGCTTCCCACGAATCAAATGTTCGTGGGAAGCAGGGGAGGGGGCGGAGTTGGGGCGGGGACTTTGGGGAAGGGGCGGAGTTGGGGGGGCGTGGGCGGGGCTGGGGGCGGGGCTGGGACCCCGTGGAGTGTCCTCCTTTTGGAGGCTCAAAATATGGTAACCCTACATACCAGGGAAGAACCATTATCTGGAGGTTAATGTGATTAAGCAAACAAGCAGGTAAGTAGCAGCTCAGTAAAGAAACTACTTAGCTTACATTACCCCAGGCTGTTGCCCCTTCTCTCTATCCCCTCCCAAACATTTAAAAGGACTTGAATTTTGTCAGACCAGCTGTGTACATTTATAAATACTCAAGTAACATGGATTGACAGAATAACCTACTTCAGGAAGACTTTCTACAAAGAATGTCAAAGATGATTTTCAAAACTTACGAAACCAAAGGAGCCTAACATTAGTGTATTAATCCCTTAGGTCCTCCCTCTTTTACAACACTAACAAATGTATTCAGTTCCCCTTTGAAAGCCCCCTATTCTTTCCTTCTTTTTTCTTTGTTGAAACAAAAGTGACAAAAGTGCTCCCAAATTGATCCAGGCTCATGGCAACACCAATAGTTCACCAGAAGGAAAAATAGGGTTTTTTTTTCCTATTTGTCCAAAAAGATTGTGAAACTCAGTTATGCAAAACCAGCGATACCCTCCTCCCCTGGTGCAGAAACACCAAAACTTATGTAACTCTGCAACTAATCTTCAGTAATCTTGAGTGAGGCATTTAAATCCAAGGAATAAGCCTATTTTTTCCCCAAGCTTATCAATAGAACAAAAAAGAGAAGAAAAAAGAAGCAAAGTCCAGCCAGGGTTGTAATATTTGTTTCCTGTGAGCAGTGTCCTGACTTTCTTCGGACAGCAAACTCTCCTGCAGCGCAATTTCCTACTCATGGCTCCTGAACATTAAAAGAAAAGCTGCTTTAGGGCTTGAAGAGCACTCACAGCGGAACCATGGCAATCGCTACGCTGGCTCTGTACCATTCCCTTGTTTTTGTCTGGTATATTTTTGTAACCTATTCAATCTCACTGGTAAGAGCCGAAGACCGGCCGTCTGAAGTGTTCCTTTATGGTAGGCAGTGGAAATATCTGACAGTTCTCAATCTGGTAAGCCCGTAGTATACAGTGGTACCAATCTGTCTATTTGTCTGTCTACCATCTGTGCCTCAAAACATATGCAGCTGGTGTATTTGCTGCTGTTATACTGCTTTCTTTTATGGTTTATACCCCAAAGCAAACTAAATAGGTATCCACATTTGTGTTGTTTATGTATAAAGAATATTTGGCAGCAAATTGCAATACTTTTAAATTTTATATATACTGTAGCTAGTTGCCTGATTGTTAAGAGACGAGTTAATCGTGAGAAGGAAAGAAATGTAGAATGTGTACTGGAAGGATGTACAGTTTTGAAGCATGTTATCTAATCCTAGGAGTAGAATAGTTACCAATTAGTATTAGTATATGTATATTCAGCACTGAGTAGCATGCATGCAGTGATAATTATAGTTCTTTGAATAGGATTTTAGCTATTACAAAATAAACAAGCAGTAAAACAAAATATGGTGAGGTAATAGCCAATCACTGCATGTACTTAATTAAAAAATTGTTTGGGGTGGGGGGAAAACATTGTAAGTCACAATGGGCAAAAAGAAATGTAGAAATACATGCAATATTATCTCATGTATTTCAAAAAGTGTGATCAGTGGCTTGCTGTTTCTCTTAGAATTACACTGTGATATACTGACAATAATATATTTCTGCATCACACATTAGTACTAATATCACACCATTACTAACCAAATGAAAACATATAACACATGCTGTCCATGGGACAAAACTTGGTCCAAGTAACTAGCCCAAGTAGCTGGGCTGTGCAAAGGGGATTTCTATGGGTGGAGATAGGGGCTTGTGGATAGGATTCCTACTGAGCTGTTGTTCTGGCAATGGAGCCCTTCAGGGACACTAGTTAGCCTCGAGGCTCCCTAGCCCTTGCATTTCCCTTGTGACCCAGTCAGTGGTGTATGGATTTATATAGCAGTGGAACCTCCAGCCCTGCCCATGTCCATCCTTATCCCTAGAGGGCCACTGGATGATGCCACACTGGGAGTTACCACACAATAGAGGGCACGGTGGCACTCATTAAAGCACTTTGTGAGTCTAAGCCCTTCAGGATAGGGATTGGCTCTTCTGTGTCTATGTAGCATATACAGTAGTAGTCAATATAAATATTTCCTGCTGCGGCTACTAACAACCAGCAATGTGAGCCAACCCAGGGGCCCCTGACGTCCTGTCTGAGCTTCCTCGAACCACAATTGTCCTGTCTTAGGCTGGGCAGGACTTGAGGCTATACCTTTGGGCATTCTTATGCTGTATTTTTAAAAACCATGAATGAAAACCAATGACAAAATAGGAAACACTGGGGAGTAATCTAAGTAGTATATAAATTCCTCTCCTTGGGAGATACCCGTCAACATCCTACCCACCGAGGGCCAAAACATGAGCCTGCTGTTGTGCTGCTGCAGGGCCCGCCAACATCACTGGCCCTTGGAATGGGTTTGTGCCACCCAAACAGTAAAGAAATCCTGAGGCAAAATGGTCCCCCTCAGACAGATCTACAATCAGCCCTCCCCATGGCCCTGCTGCTCTGCTGTCCACCATACTGGGTCACCAGGGGAGTGACGTTGGGTGAAGCTGCCCTTTTCCCAGTGTCTCGCTATGAGCCTGGGGTGACAGCAAATGACTGTGCTGCTTTTCCTCCCCATCCTTTCAGAAGCAGAATAGACTATTCCAAAATGGAGCAGTCAGCATCAGGGGTGTCCACTGGGCTGAAGACACCACCCTCCAGTCACAGAGGAAAGGTGGTGAGATTCAGACAGGGGCAGGAAGTGGTGGAGGAAGCAGAAGCTCCTCTATGGTACAAAATCCCTCTTTCTCCTGAGACTTTTTCTGAGGAAGTAGGGAGGGTGTTTCAGCAAGCACCTAATCCCCCATTACCTCCCTGACCTGCACAGACTGCTCTGTGGAGTCTGCTAATATGTCTGGGTAGTAGTAACTTCCAGGGTCCCTATATGTGTCAGAAAAAGAGAGGGGAGAGGAAGGGGTTAGGATACCAGAAACCTAGTGGAGGGGGCGAGGAGTTAATGCTTGAGCTCGCTACCGCTACCCCTTTTGAGGCAGAGCAGTTGCTTCATGACTCAGTTGCTCCATGTTCCATACTGAGATGGCCTAACCTTACAATCAGAAAGGCCACCACAGAGCTCCCCTTTAGAGAACAAGGGGCCTCTCTATGTCCCTTAAGATGTAGCTCCAAATGTGTAGTGGAGACTTTTCCAAAATACACCACAAAAGGTCAACGTGCATAGCCATGTATACATTACAATTGTGTGGTTGTGCCCCTGAAAATGATGCACACATTGCAATTTCCTTTCGGCAGTCAAACCTGACACTTGGTCTTTCTCTAATTCTGTTTGTTTTCATATCAATACATAGATCACTCCTTGTTTTCACATCATCATCAATTAGATCCAAGATGAGCCTTCCTCTACTTGACTGCTTCCCCTAGTCTCTCCCCCGTGTCTATCTTTCACACTACCAAGTGCTCCTGTGTCCTCCAGAGGAGAAGCCCACATACACAACCACTTCACTGGGTGGAAACAGGCTGCAGCCAACACCCTGGGGCTGGCTGGGCAGTGGTCAAAGGGCAGGAGAACATGGGGAGCAGAAAAACAGCACTTTAAAATTTCCTGCTCAGATGAGGGGCACTAGAGAGGCCTGTTTTGGGTATGTGCACCAGCAAATAATAACTAGGAGACTATTCAAAATTGTGCAGCCTTTGGAAACAGAACTGTGATGCTTCAGGGGATACTGAATCTGTCTCTTGGAAGTAAATCCGGCTGAAAAATTTCAGACCAAACAGTTTTCTGTCAGAAAATGCTGATTTGATGGAACCAAAACATTCTGAGGGAACGTGTTGATTACACTGGAAGTTTAGACTGAACTCAAGCAGGCAGGCAGACGGGCCAGTGGGCCAACCTGGTTTCCTGCCTGTGCCCTACCTCCTCTTCCCACAGTCAGCCTGCCAGCAGGTGAGCTCACCGGGCTGCTTGGATCACTAGTAGTCCATCTGGTAGGGCTTTGGGGCTCCAGGTTGCCCAGGTTCCTAGTTGCCAGCTTGGAAAAATATCACCTTTCCTTTTAGTCCTTCTGAAATGGATTTTTTTGAAAATTTCCATTCCAATCTCTGACTTTTTGTTCTGATTTAGAATGAAAAGAATTTCAGAAATGCAAAGTTTCCCATGCCACAGACATTCCAGGTCCTGCACAGCTCTGCTTGGAAGCAAACACTTGCTTTCATGTATACTCCTCTTTTAGCAATTTCTCGACATTCGCACCTGCTGTGAGAGCCTCCCAAGAGCCAGACTCCAGCTCTCATATGCCACTTCAATTCCACCTACCTACTTACACTATTTGTTGCAGTCAGAGCCTCCAAAAGGTGATAATGTAGGGTGGTGTTGCACAAGAGAAAAATAAAAGCTCAAGGTGTGTTTAGTATCAAAGGCTTTCACTGGTCAGTTCCTGAAGAGATAGAAGGGACTATTGGACAGATAAGAACAATTTTACATCTATTTTGTGTAACATGAAACATACTTAGATTGTAAGATCTCTGGGGCAAGGATTGTTGTTTTGTTCTGTGTTTGTACAGTGCCTAGCTAACACAATGGATCCTGGTCCGTGACAAGGGTTCTTTGTTGCTACATCGATACAACTAATAATGCAGCATCCAAAATAAGTTATTACCCAAAATCTTTCCATCTATCACATAAAATGGTTTATTGCATATACACAAGTAGAATAGTGCATAAAGAACATCCCCGGACATCTGAAAACAGACATTTGCATCCAAACTCCCTCTCCCAAATTTTGTTTATTACACTTGAATCTCTCATTATTAAAATAGTTTTGATTGTACTAAAGGTACTGTTTCCTATTTGTTTTCAAATAGAGCCAATATTTATTGCACATATTTTCTATAATTTTATAGTGTGAATATATATGAATTTAGTAAAATTTGATTTCCATATCTAACAGCCCACATGGAATATCAGATTTATACCCCATTAAACAAAATGCTGTGGGCTGTGTTTATGACTATCAATTTGGGAATTAGATACATTCAGGTAGCCAGATGCTGTCTTTGAAAATGAATTACGGGAATAAATAAATGGAAATACTTGCTTTGATCAAATTAGATGAGATTTGATTTTTGCCATTGATGCCTCTTAGTTCAACTGATCTGTCTGGCCAAATTAAATAGGTACAGTTAACTAAACATGTCCTGTCTGTCTGTATGCAAGCATTTCTAAAGCCCTTATCACTGTGGCACTAAAAATGGTTTATAGAAAACAGAGAGGTTTGTCCTGAAGGGCCAGTCAATTCCCCATCCTTCTCTGTGGGTTAATCATTGGCTTCTCTCTTTCAGATTGTTTCTGTTCTTATTTCTCTTCCTGTTCTGGGGGGAACACTTTGGGGAATCCTTTTGAACTACATCTGGCAGATTTATATACTGAGAGCAGCTGCAGATGCAAGTGCCAACATTGCTGCTTGGAAAGTCATAGGGACACTCGAAATAATTTCATCCTTTTGTATATTTTCTATTATACTTACATAATTGCAAAATGTGGATTCATGTCCAGGTATGAATTTTCCTGAGTTTGTGAGGGTTCAGATCTGGTGTTCAAGTCCCTCTGTGTTCTATGGTATTGTGATATATTATGGAAGCACTTGTGATGACTCCATAATTATGGCTGTGTTCAGTTTTCCATTTTTAAAGTGGGGTTTAAATTCTCTTGTTACACCTGAAAACATAGGCTGAGTATAATCCAAATGAAACCACTTAACAGCAGGCACCTATGGAGGCACACAGCAACAGAGCACCTCTCAGTGTTTACAGGATATCTGGGGGTATGTCTACACAGCAATTAAAAACCCATGGCTTGCCCAGGCCAGCTGATGGGGGCTCACAGAGCTCGGGCTAAGGGGCTGTTTAACTGCAATGTAAACATTTGGGCTCAGGCTGGAGTTTGGGCTTTAGGGCCCCGTGAGGTGGGAGGCTCCCAGAGCTCAGGTTGCAGCCTGAGCCCAAATGTCTACATTGTATTTAAACAGCCCTTTAGCCTGAGTCCTGTGAGCCCCCGTCAGCTGGCACAGGCCAGCCACTGGGGTCTAGCTGCAGTGTAGACGTACCCTGTGGTATCAGGGCTTCACTCCTGCACTCCTCTAAAGGTATGTCTATGCTTCCAGCTGGAGGCATAATTTCCAGCTTGAGGAGACATACCTGTGCTAGCTATGATCAATCTAGAGCACTAAAAATAGAAGTGTAGCCACAGCAGCGTGAGTGGCAGCATAGGCTAGCTGTCCTAAGTACATACCTAGTCTCTTGGCCTGGATCATAGACGGAGTGGCTAGCCCCTCCACTGCTCATTTCATTGAGGCTACACTTCTATTTTTAAGTGTACTCATTTGATCAGAGCTAGCACAGGTATGTCTCCTCGAGCCAGAAATTATGCCCCCGGTTCAAAATGTATATGCAGCCTTAAGGGGTGAAATTCACCCCTGTGCACTAATTAGTCCCACTTACACTCTCCAAATAAGGCTTAAGAGGGACTGAAGTGTTCCTCAGCCTTAGGCAGGCCTTCTGCACAGAAGTGAGTTTCACCTAAAGTGAGCAGTAGTACCACAATTCCTTTCCTGACACAATAGTTAACTTTCCAAAGTCTATAGTTGCTCTTGCAACTTGTAATTTGAGTGTGCACACTAATTGTTAGCATGTCTCTATTTCTGTTAAACTATGCCTGATATGGAATGTTATTTCAGTTAGGTGGTTAATTAACTTAAACTGTTAATTTCCTAATTTGTTACTTTTTTTTTAAGTATAGTTATAGCAACCTTGGGCTAAGATGTCCTTTCAGTTATACCAATGGAAATCCTCTGAATTAAATGCAGTTACTTTGGATTTCTATTACTGTAGCTGAGGGTAGAATGTTGGGTTTCTTAAAGGTACACTCCTGAGATTAAATTCCAGGATTTTTTTTGGAAATAGGGGCCTATGGATACAGGTGTTTGAGCGTGCAAGTGCTCACACACAGCAACCTAAGTAAAGAAAAATGAATGGAAAGTTTTCAGTCTGGAAGATACTATTGACCTCTTCTGTAAGCTACAGAAAGAATGCTAGATTGAGAGCTTGGATGCTTTGGGACCATCTGTTTCTTTTCCATCCAAATGTTTGTTTTAATTGATTTTAAGGGGGGGGAAATGAAGTTTATGTCTGTCTCATGATTAATGTAGGGCTTGCCATAAAAGCGGTAATCAGACCCTTGTACTCTGGGAACCATGCCTCTCTCAAATAGGGAAAGCCTATGAGATGCTTTACTAACGAATAGTTACCATGCGTCACCAGACTTTCACTGTCATCATGTGTCACAGGTCATTTCATTGCCATTTGTCATGCTGTTTAAAGTATAGGGAGAAAGTATTGAACTGAACATCATAGCTTGCTCTCCAGCCTGCAGTAGTTATAGCCAATGGCATACAGGAAAAAGAGCAATTCTTAAGCACCCATCTCCCATGTGTGTGCCTCAAGGAATGGGGCCCCAGGATCTGATCCGGCAAAGCACTTAAACACATGCTTAACTTTAAGTAGACGAGGAGTCCGGTTGAAGTTGAGCATGTGCTTAAGTGCTTTGCTGCTTTGGGTCCAGAACCTTGCAAGATTGAGCCCTTAGAGTCCAAAACTCTACCCACAGTTAGAGAGTCTTGGTAAGGAAGATCTCAAAGTCAATGGTGAAAGACACACACACTTATTTAAAGGACTGTTTTTGTGTCACAAACTGGAATGAGCTGGAACTGTATTTGTGGTTCTTGCAGGGTTATTTTTAATGACAATTGCATTATGCAGTCCATAAGCCTCCTGTCCTCTTTGGGAGGAAGAATGGTGCTGGGGGTGAGCCACAGCACTGTTTGTCAAGTGACCTGCATTCAACTCCCCCTCTGCCTCATACCTCCTGTGAGACCATGGGCAAGTCACTTAGCCTTTCTGTGCTTCAGTTTCCCTATCTTTTGTTTAAAGCTAATTACCTACCTCCTAGGGATGTTGTGAGGCTTAAGTCATTAATATTTAAATATTAATATTGACACCCTAAGGGGAATTACACTATGAAAGCACAAAGTATTGTGTTTTGAAATAGTTTTTTTTTTTTGGTGGGCAGGGGGAGGCCATCCTGTTCCCCATCCTCTATTCCCCATCTAAAACTTTCTGATCAAGTGCTGTGCCAGTGGTGTCCCCTCCCAAGCCCCACCTCTTTAGGTTCCTGAAGAAGTAATCAGTCCAGCCTTAGATATCACACAAACTCAAAATAAAAATCTGAATCAGGGTGAGATCATGGCAAAAGAAACATCATTTGGAATGCTTAACAGTATCTTTCCATCTCAGCAGTGCCAGCATTTGCAGTAGACTGAGTTTCCCAGCACAAGAGTGAGAGAATCTAGCTTTAAAAATACCACCAGTAATCAAGAAAATTGAGCTCAGGTTCAAAGTTGAGCATAGATTAGCAGTCAAAGAGCAGTAAGTTCTTAATAGGCTTCATCTTTACTTCTTCCCACATTTAGTGCACTACAGTCCATTGTGTAGCACTAGCAAAGGTGGTTGAACAATGAGAAACATTGTTTTCAAATACAATTATTTGATGATCAGTGGAAGAGAATACAGATAATACATTATTTGCATAATATCATCAGACCATCTGTGAAGTTAGCTAACTAAAAAGAGCCAGAATTAATTGCTTACATTATTTGCAAAAAAATAATTCAACCAGCGCTCTCAATTCTAGTGCAATGAGGTCTTATTTCTAGTTACCAAGGCCCAGATCCTCAAAGATATTGAGGTGGCTAACTCCTGCCTAAAATATCTTTGAGGATCTGAACGTGAAGTCCTGCTCTTGCATTCCCCTGAATTCAGCAGAAATAGGTTCAGGACCCAGTACAGGACAAATCTTTTTCTAGTGGCTTCTCTGTCTAACACAGCCCTTTTAGGGTGTTTTGTATTGGTTAATTGGTACAGTATGGGCATGAGCTCTAACACATCACCACCATCCAGGAGGCACCATCTTGGCAGGGCCGGCTCCAGGTTTCCTGCCGCCCCAAGTGGTGGGAGGGAAGCGGGGAGGAGAAAGCCGATCGGCGGCAATTCGGCGGCAGCTCAATCACGCCGCTCCATTCTTCGGTGACGGGTCCTTCACTCCCTCTCTTCCTCTTCGACGGCACTTCAGAGGAAGAGAGGGACTGAGGGACCCGCCGCCAAATTCCCGCCAAAGACCCAGACGTGCCGCCCCAATAGGGGTCGGAGTGCCACCCCTTTGTATTCTCCGCCCCAAGCACCTGCTTCCTTAGCTGATGCCTGGAGCCAGCCCTGCATCTTGGCTAACCTCTGAGAACACTTATAGTGTTTGCTTTGCAGGAAACATTAGAACTCCAAATAGCCACAGATTTGTCCCCTCCCGTCTCTACTTTGTTGCCTTGAGGTTAACAATTAACATATTAATTGCAAAAAGACCTATCTTACAACACATCCTGCCACTTCCAGTCTGAATAAAGCTCACTCTTCACACCACACTGTTCTGCTCGGTCCATTAAGAGAGGTACTGTTAAAGTAATCTCCTGAACTACTTTATTTAATCACTTTCAGTTAATAAGGAAAATTGAGCCAAAAGCTATTTCCCTGGTGCTGACTTGTAGTTTACCAACAAAACAGCTCCCTAAAGAGCAAGTATTGAGTTCATGCAGGAACATGCTAATCAAAGGTGGATGACGATTCCCTCATTATCTGTAATTAATTTAGGTTTTGCAGGCTGTTTTCTATGGGATCTCCTTCCTGGCTGATGTGTTGAGACTAATTAAGAAACTGCCAAGTGTTAAGTACATAATTTCCTGCAGAGACCTTCTCTTCAGTGTCCTGGCTTTCCCTCTGTCCACGGTAAGTAACCAATGTCTATAATAATAATAATCATATATACACACGTACCAAATAGATACAGATATTACTAGGGAGCTTCATTTTGTCTTTTGAAAACAGAACAAATCCATTTAAATGAGGAAACAATGCTTAAATCTAGCCCCAGATGTGACGCTAGCTAGTGGTTTAATGTTGAACATGTTGCTCCGACATGGTGGTCTACAAGCCCCCCTCCCCCTGCCCCCCTACAACCCAGCCATAGGCAAACAGACATCCACCAAAATCAAAGGGCAGAAAGTAGACATTCTGCTACCCTTATTACATACAGAGCCACTGGAATTATCTACTGAAGTAGTTTCACTGAAAGGGCAACTGTGCCTTAAGAGTCTAGTAAGGTCCTTAAAAGGCAACAAATCCTCATATTGTCTTCCCTGACTGCAAAATGAGTTTAAACAAACACAGAAGAGAAACAGACTTAAATGATATTACTTAGAATAATCTACAACAGATTCATTTTGGACTGTCTGCTCACATGTAGACAATTGTGTCCGCCACATGGTTCTGCATATAATGGGACAGAGACTGAAATCACTTAGGCAGTACAACTCAGTGTGAAAGGGGCTTGCAGAAGCTGGCCTCAGGAGAGCTGAAACTCATCTTTAACTGGGTCCACAAGCATTTCAGCCAGGTGAATCAAGAGAGGCCATTCTTGCAACTGAGACTAAGCCATCTCAGTTACTAGTCATTCTTTGCATACCAGCTTCTTGTAACACTGCTGTCACATCTCCCATGCATGCTTCTGGGTATGTAACAGAAAAGGGATGAACACCAGGATGCATCCGTCTGTAACCTGCATGCGCTATATTTAGTATTGACAATCCTCCCCACCTCTCATGCCCTCAGTTTCCATAATACGGACAACTTGTGCTCAAACGTAAAACCAGGCCAAGAAAGTACAAATGAGCTTTCGGATATCAGTAGCTGATACTGGGATTCATTTCTTACACTTAAATCCTCCCACTGTAAATCCTCCCCTATTGGATCAGATGGCCCAAGATACAGCCTACTCCTGTACCTACAGCTTAGGAATGAAGCTTACAGACTTTACCGGCATGCCAAGATTTAGACAATCAGTCTTGCCACTATCTGCTTTTACTTTGTTACTGAGCAGAACAAATCCTTTGGCATGACAGCCAAGGCCTAGAAATCTTGGACCATCCAAGATCCTACTGGAAAAATAAGAAAGGTTCAAGGGTAGTCATGTGTTCCCTGGAAATTTCAGTGTCAGCAGTAAGCAGTTTATACAGTTGAGGAGGAGTTTCTTATACTCAAAATACTGAGAAGTCAAGGTGAGACTGACATGGCTTTAACAGCAGCAGAACACTGCATCTTGCAGTAACTTCCCTTCTTTACTTTGTAATTTGTGTGATACATCTGTTGTTTTATCTCGCAAGCTCACATTTTTCCTACAGACTGCTTTGCCTTTTACAACAAAAATTCTTTTGTTGCAGTTTGTGTTTATGTCCTTTTGGGTATTGTATACGTACAACCGAGAACTGGTTTACCCCAAGAGCCTGGATGGGATCATTCCAATGTGGTTAAATCATGCTATGGTGAGTAAAAAGCCGGACTAGTGCCTAGAACACACAGACTTTTGCCATGAATGTTCCACTGTTGCATTATTTATCTTTCCAAAAGGGTTTCACAACTTTTTCCCTCCCTGCTGTCTATTTAAAGCACACATTGAGCTGTATGTAATGAACGGATGCATGCGCTATAATTGCCGAAAGAAGCCTTTTAGCACACAGGGAATGTCAGTGAATCATGGCACGTCAAGCCTCTTAAAAAAAATCGATGAAAAGATGTGTAATCATAAAAAGAAAACCTTCTAGGTTACTTCAGTTCAAAAAAGAAATGGTCTCCGTAAACTGAATGTTATAAAATACAAAATGGTTAGGAATACAGCTGAGCACTGAGGAATTTTTAAAAGAGGTGAAAGAATCAAAGAAAATCTGACAGCTCAACAGCTCATAAGGTAATGTGTGCACAGCACTGAATAGCTGAATTGAAATGATTGTTTACAGATTTCTATAAATATATTCCAGATCTCTCCTTCAATTGCCATAGCTGTTTTTATGATGTGTTGAATAATCACATACTTCTCATCAGTCAAGTATAAGGATGCTGACAGTAACATGGAAACTGTGGGTGGTTATAAGGTCATGGCAGCCTCCTGGGGCTAAAGGAGGCAGGAAGGGGAGAGGTTCAATGCTAGACTGAATCAGAGGAGCCAAAAAGTATGAAATAATCATGCAGACATCCCAGCCTTGTTTCTCTCAAGATTCCAGTTTTTTAAGATTTTTCCAACTCAATAACTTTGCAACACACTGCAATTTCTGATGCCTTTGAAGCTAAATGGAACTTCCCAAATATTTCTGACTGAGAACGTTTGTTAGATTTTTTAAAAACATCCACTTTATAAATGTATATTTACAAATACTTATGCTTGTGCAGCATGAACACACATATATATATGCCACTTCCCCATTAGTGATATCATGTAATAAACTGAGTGATAAATGGCAGCCATTATGCACTTTTGACCCTATTACCTGCTCTCTGCCTACTAATCCAGTTTCACTGGGACTACTTCTACATTCCAAACCTCTTAACAGATGCAAACAATCTCTATTTTTTAAAAACTATTAGTCACAGAAAATTATTCCTTTTCTTCTCAAAATTACATTGGTCTCAGGTTCAGGATTCTGGACCAGCAATAGGTCTAGCTTAGTATCTAGTTCAGTGCTAGATTTTAGATTTATTTATTTTTAAATCTCAGTGCATAGCTGGGAATTTGCCCTTCCCAATACGGCAACTTTTTGTAATGGCCTCGGCAGATTGAGAGAGGCTGGGGCTTCCAAGTGTGACATTATTACAGATGGAAAAACTATTTGCAGAAGTCTCTAAAATGTATTTGTTATAATTTCTCTCTCCTTCCCAGGCCTGTATAGATGGACAAACAGTACTAAGAGATCCTAACTTTACAATTGGAGGGGTACAAAAAATAGTAAGAGTGAAATGTTTTCAAGCTCTCCAAGATATCTATATTTCCCTCCTTCTGTAAACGTTCAGCATATACAGAATACCTGACAATTTGATGTGGTATCAATTTTTTATTGACATGATTTTGGGATGATCTGCGTAACTCAAATCTGCATAACCAAATGGCATGACTTGCATCACCCTCTGCAAATAGCATGCTGGGAAACCTGTTTACAGCATCCCAGACTCAGTTTTAAAATGATCCCATCCTGTAAGTGTAGATGGAATAGAACTGCAATTTAACTTACGTTCCCAAATCCTGCCACATTCAGGGGCACGTTTAGGTCCCACCTACATTACAAGATAGAACCATGTTTTCACTTTGTCAAGGCAGATCTGCACTGACTCTAGTTGCTGAGTCTGCAATAAATGTCATCTGCTAATTCATCTATGACAAGCTTCCTCCCGCTCCTCATTTAAGGAGTTCCTGAAAACACATGTATTTTGGGAAGCATTCCAGCTACTGCACAATGATCAACCAATCTCTCGGTGACACTGCAAACCAGCTGCCTGTAATGAAATGTAATAGGCCATGTTCACCTTACAGTACTATATAAATGATTAATACTACTAGCAGTTCTGCCAACTTGTGGGAGGGGCATGGGGGAAGTTTCCTTCCAGTAATTGTAGAATCCAAGATGTCTGCCAGAAGTGAATTCAGAACTCTGAAAAGATCATTGGGACTGATGGGGCAGCGGGAGAGCCTATGTGAGCATTCTAAATGCTATCATCATGTAAATAAGGCTTTTAAGGCTTCAGAAATAGCCAACGGCATTTCTTCCTTTTGATCCAAGATGTCCACTGTAAATACCATGGGGATTTGGGGAGCTGCCAGATATTTAAAGGGACAGCATATTAAATGTCAATTGTCAGGGAAAAGATTTGATGAGGGTTTCCCCCCCTCCCCAACCCATGAACTCTGCAATATTTTACAGCTCTGAGGTTAGCAAAAGTTCCTATCATGGCAATGGGGGGAAAGCTGTTAGTTTTGTTAGGTGTCTGTGTGTTTGGGATATATCATTTATATATAAGGGATATATCATTTACAGCCTGAGTGTTTTTAAGTCAATAGAAGAGTCTCAGAGGCCCAGATCCACAAAGGAATAGGGAAGAGATAGGTGCCTAAGCATGAGATCCACAAAAGCCAGAACTCTAGGCAGGGAGCTGCCTAAACAAGGCAACCAATGTTCCCTCTAATTTTTTCCATCCATGTGCAGAATAAATTTTGTCATGTGCACCAAGGTATACATGGATGTGGGCCACCAGTAAAAACAAAAAACCTAGATATAATATTTTTTTTTTAAAGTCCAGATGGAAAAACCAGCCAGGACAAGTTAGGCATTTTAGAACTCACTATTCGAGGAATTAAATTTAAGTGTAAGAGAAATAAAAATTATGAAATGCATATGAAATGACCGGTCAAAACAGTAACACACTTTGAAAGAATAAAATTACAGAGAATATGTGTGCATTGCAGGAAGTACCAAGTAACAACAATAATAATACAAGTATGTGTTGGGAGGTGAGTGTGACACAGAGTGTGTGTGACACAGAGATAGTGTTTGTGTGTGTGTGCATGACACATTATGTGTGCGACAGACTGTGTGTGCGTGTGTCACAGAGACTCTGTGTGTGTGTGTGTGTGTGTGTGTGAGTGAGTGAGACACACACACACACACACAGCATGTGTGCTGGCTGCTGGGAAAGTTTCTGAGAGACACCCTGCATTGTCTCTTTAAGACACTCACTGAAAGCTCTCCTGCTCTGTCCTGAGCCCTGTTGTCTCACCTCCCCTGCTCTGTGGAGATGGGGTATATGGGCAGGTTGGGTGGGGGGGGGGAGAGAAGAGAGAGAGAAAGAGAGAGACTGACTGACTGTGTGAGCTGGCTGTTGGGGAAATCTCAAAAATAGTGCACTGTCTCTTTAAGAAAGGCACTCAGTCACTCACCCTTCCCCTCTGCAGCCCTGAGTCCTGAGCCAGGCTGTGTCCCCTCTGCCCTGTGGAAATGGGGTACAGGGGCTGGGGGCAGGGGGATGCCCTGACATCAGCACCCTCCTCCGTCCCCCACTGCACAGCCACGTGGGAGGGGCACCTGAACACATGCTGCCGGCTGTGTGTGCTCTCCTAATCAGCTGGGCAGCGCTTGAATCTCTCCTGCGTGGCTGCTGAAGCACGCAGCTTACAGGAAACACAGATTCGGCAATGGAAGATGACAACAAGAAAAATGTAAACTAAGCCATGCCCTTCTCATAGAGTTAGATGCCTAAATCCAGGCTGCAGAGAGGCACTTAGTTCTGCTTGTGATCTACAACCAGGAACCTCTTTCCTGGAGTCAAGTGGCCTAGGCACCTAAGTCATTTCTTGTGAAAAATGCATTTGGCGCTTGCCTTACTCCAAACAAAAGGGCTGGAGAAGAAGGAGAAGGCGCTCACCTTATAACTTTTAGCCCAGTTATTATAGCACTCACCTGGGGTGTGGAAAATGCAGGTTCAATTCCCCCTCTGGCAGAGGGGGAGACAGGATTTGAAGAGGGACTCTCCCACCTCTCAGGAGAGGGCTGTAATCACTGAGCTGTGGGATATGCTGATGTAGGGCTCCCTCAGTCTCTCCTGTTGAAGCTCTTCCATTGTGGATTACTACTTACAGAGTCACTGGAGCACAGAGAAAGAGCATGACTCCATTGCCTGGTATTTCAGGCACCCAGTAGCGTAGCTAGAGGGGTGCAGGGGAAGCAGCCGCTTCCCCCGCCTTTCCAAAAGCGGCTGCAGGAGTGGGGGGAAGGAGGGGAGGTTGCGGCCTGCAGTGCGGCCAGCAGCCACGACCGGAGGAGCAAGGGGGGGGGGGCGCAGGCTGGCAGCCGGCAGCTGGAGGAGTGGGGGGTGCAGCATGGCGGCCGGCAGCCATCACCGGAGGAGCGGGGGGGGGAAATGGGGGTGGCACGGCAGGGCCAGAGAAGCTATGGGGGTAGGGTGGTGCGGCCGGAGGAGGAGCAAGGGGGGGGGGCACGGTGCGGCCGGAGGAGGAGCCAAGGGGGCATGACCAGAGGAGGAGCCGGAGGGGGGGCCTTTTTTATGTTTGCTCCCCCTCCTCTTAGAAGCTGGCTACGCCACTGCAGGCCCCCAACCTGGGAGGTGGGAAACTGAGGGTCCAGTCCTCCCTGCTCTAATGACTCTTTTAGGTATTTATAACAGGGGGACTAGACCCTCAGGATTTAGTCACGTAAAACTGGGACTTAGTTTCAGTGTGGATCTGGGCCAGAGATCTCCCTATGTGAAGCATTATGTTACGTAAGTAAACAGTTTGTCTAGGTCATACAAGAAACATGCACAAATGCTCTGGGAACACAAAGCTTCTTGAGTTGGCAACCAAGCTTTCTCTCCTCCTTGTGACAATCAACCAACCAACCCTGTATCTTTTCCCTGATGCTGGTACATCAAGGGGTTTTCTCTTTGCATAACTAGCCACAGAATGTCTAAGTGGGGGCTTTTGCTGCTTGTCACGTGAATTTAG